AGAGAGAGAGAGAGAGAGAGAGAGAGAGAAAGTGAAAGTGAAAAAGAAAGAGAGACAGAGAGACAGAGAGACAGAGAGACAGAGAGACAGCGAGACAGAGACAGAGAGCAGACAGACAGACAGAGAGGGAGTGAGACCCATGCGCTCAGCTGGCAGCTATCCAGCACCAGTTGGAGACAGGCAACGACAATAATTTGAGAGAGAGAGAAAAAGGGAAGGAAGGAAGGAGAGAGAGAGAGAGAGAGAAGAAAGAGAGGGGGAAAGAAAAGAGAAAAAGGAAAGGAAGAATTTCGGGTCGTTTGGTTTCTCTTTGTAGGGTGGGGGAAAGATGTCCAGGAAAGGAGCGGGGCAGCGCGTAACAGAGAGCGCACAATCGGGGCAGGGCGCGCCTTCTCTGTTGCGCTGCGAAAAAGAACGAGGCGCCTTCGAATTTGTGTCCCCCCATCCCTCCCCGTCTCCCCACCTTGGACAGATCCCCCCGGAGGAGGGGACCCCCGTCTGGCTGGTACCTCGGCTCTCCCAAGGCAGGGGGAGGCGAAGGGGAAGCTGCAGGCGCCGGAGACCGAGTCCTGATCCCAACCTGGGCGCGCCTGGGGTGCAAAGGGCGAGGTGAGTTGGGGATGGGATGGGCTGGGAAGTTGGGTATAGGAGGAAGAGGGGTGCGAAGCTTGCAAGAGCGGCAGGGGTTAGCGATCCGGGCTTTCCAAGCATCCTCCCCATCCAAGTCTCGGGGTGCAGGGAAGAAATCGAGCGGAGAGACTTACCCCGAAGCAACAGTCCGAACTGTGAACTTGGCGAAGAGGAATAGTAGCTACGCCGGCGCGGCGCTTGGGAAAAAGTAGTGCTGTCGCGTTCCCGCCCTGCGGTGGCTCCACCTGCCCGGAGGTGCGGAGGAGGAGGAGGAGAAGGAAGAGAAGGAGGAGGAGGAAGAAAACGGGGTTGGACAACTTGACCGCTTCTTCCAATAGGGGGCGCCTTTCATGGCTTTTTCTTTCCTTGTCCAGCATTGGCCCCAAGACGACTCAGGCACCGAGTCTGGTGGCCAGAAGGGTTTTGGAGGACCACCAAGCAGGTTGCATCCTTTTGAGAAGCAAGGCTGGGGTTTTAACAGCGTAACAGAGTAGGAAGGGTCCTTAGAGGTCTTCTAGTCCAACCCGCTGCTCAAGCAGGAAACCCTACACCAGTTCAGGCAAATGGTCATCCAATCTGTTCTTTAAAAACCTTCAGTGGTTGGAGCACCCACAACTTCTGGAGGCAAGGGGGTCTTTGTGAGAAAGGGGAAGGCATGGTGGTTTGAAAGAGCTTGTAGGACTGTGGTTGTTAAGGTTGGGATGGGAGGCCATAAGGAAATCCACGGGTTACAGGCTAATCGGTATACTACGAATTGTAGGATTGATATACATCAATTCTGCAATTTCTTTCAAACATCTAGAGATCGTAATTCTTCTCTGAAAAAATTCTTGGAGTTCTACAAAACTCAACAGCCTGGGGAAACTATCGTAGGAAGTTAGCCCCCACCCGTCTCCTAGGAAAAAATGGAATATCCTGGGAAATATTGAAAAGGCAGAATATTATATTTCCCTGGATCAGAAATGAAGAAACATGTTTTTAGGCAGGAACAAACACACTCTTAATAGCCCCCACGTATCTCAATGGCCCATTAGGGGCCCTGAGCTGGTCTACTCTACATAACAAAGATAAGATTAGCCTTCCACAGAAACTCACCACAGGGCACCTGGGAAGAAGCAATGCTCAACCAAACTTGGGACTCGACACACAACCCAAAGAGTTGCCCCTGCATGGCCCCATGGGAATCTGACAACCAATCAGAATACAAGATCAAGATCAAAGGCCAGAAAGGGTATAAAGCCAGGTACTTTCAGCATCTCTGTCTCTATTCTCTTCTTCACCCAACATCTGGAAGCATGGGATCCCCCTTTTCGGTTCAGGAGCTCAATCCCTGTGATCCTGTCCACCATTAAAACCATCTTTCCAAGCAGCCTCCATGTTTCCAGGGTTTCTTTTTCCCCCCTTGGAGCCGAACCCAGAAGGACATTTCTTCCAACGCTATCAAAACAATTTTTGGCCTTGTAGTGGGAGTTTTTTTGTTGGTGTTGTTTTTTTTTTAATTTTAAAAAATAAAGTTGCAACTGAAAAGAACTATTTGGCATTTGACAAGCCATTGATGTTAACTGTTGCTGCTTCACAAGAGTGACACCGGGACAGTGTCAATGCAGACAGATAGAGAGAGACCCTTTTTCCAGTGGGGTTTTAAGCAAGCAACTCTCTGAAAGG